AGGCTTAAAATCACCCAGAAATCTGCCTTAACCTGTTAATACCTGCAGAATAAATCTGCTTCATCTGAAAGTACAGGAGCTAAATAATTCCAGAAATTTTATTAATAAAATGTCCATAATACAAGTTTTCTCCATTTTTTTTAAATGATCCTTAATCCTTTTACTGTTCAGTGTAAAAACAGGTTATTGGGATATGATTTTGAACAACAATCTTAACCCTGGGCTTTTCTGGAAAGCAATAGGATATAAAGAACTATAAACGTTGTCACCAAAAAAAAAAAAAAAAAATTATTTGAGATAAACACTGGAAGAGAAATCATGAAAATCTTCAAAATCTAAGCAGAATAGTATAGATGCCACTAAGTAATTTTTACATTCCCCATTAGGAACTTTTTGACAGAAACAGAGCTGTGGTCACAAAAATACAAACACATAAAAATATTTTTTTGACATTTACTTGAATGATTTATTTTTTTTTAACGTGATCTAAGAGGATTAACAAGGCATGGGACTGAGACAGGAAGAGATTATCAGAAAGCCCATGTATTGCTTTGTAAAGAAAGTTTTGCAAATATTCCTGAGAAATTTGACAAGCTTCCGGTAAAGCAGAAGAAATTCTCTAAGGATCTGAAAAACCCAAAATACATTCAGCACCTCATTATTAGTCCAGTAGGCTCTAAGTCAATTAAAAATTGCTAAAAGCATGGGTCATTTAACAACAGCTTCATTTTCAGATCAGTTCACAACAAGTTTTTCTGTACTAAACCTATGTAAAATTCTACTCTACCTTTAAAGCTATGATAATCACTAACAAGATTCAATACACCTGCCATTACAGCTTTTCTCTTGGTTATACTACTGGAGAGATTTCTGACCTTGTTTAGACCCCATCTTCAAATACAATTGTAATCTTCCTTTTTTTGTTAATAAATAATCGCACTCTGTTTCACAGCCAGTTCTACTTTTGCTTGCCATTGGAGGTTACCTCAGGACACAGACTACTGTAGGAGACTGGCTCACTCCTACTGCTGGCGCACTTAAAAGCAGTCAAGGTAAGTATATTTAAAAATCCATCTTTCAGCGAAGTTTTCCCTAACAGACTCCAGCAAGAAACTATTACTGTGATATAACAGCCTGTTTTCAGGAGTTACCTATGAATGTAAGGTTTTGTTAATTAGGGGAAAACTCTGCCACATTCACTAGTTTGCAGTAACCTGCAAGGTTTAAAACATCTGCTAAAGTAATTTAAGGAACTCAACCCATTCTAGGGAAAACTATTTCAACAAAAATCCTTCAGCTCATTCTTTTCTCAGCAGTCTAAAGTTGAATTCTTTCTAGATACTCTTCATCTTCCTCTTTCTACTCTACACAAATTACATGAGTGATACTTGTCTACAATTAAGCTGAAATGGAAACCTGAGAGTCAGAATAGACCTAGGTAACCTACTTAGCAAGAGACTACCAGGGCATAAATGAAGCTATTTAGCCCCCCCCGTGGCTGTACTCAGAACTTTAAAGTCATCAGTGAAGTATGCCACATCCCTTCAGGATTACAAAACAAAAGCAAGTGTATTACCTACTGGACTTGCCACTTGACAGTACATGGTCTATAAAAAAACCCGAGTGTCCTCTAATGACATAAAAAGGCTCTTAAAAAATGAACACCAGTTGAGGAGGTTTGAAATATGCAAAAGCATAATTGCTGGCTCTGATAATTAGCTACTGACACTTTTTCCTTTTTTTTTTAAATGAGTTCACAGGCATTTATTTACAATAGATCAAACTCATCTGTATAAGGAAACACTGCTTTTCTGTAAGATTTAAAATCTCTTAAGCACAGAGTTGACATTAAAACTATCAAAAAGCTGGGGGTTAGAGGCAGAGGACATTTCAGGAAATCAGAACAGTATTTTTCCAAGGTAATTAGCCAACCTAGAGATCAGATAAAGGGTTTTCATTTAAGATAACTTCTTTTATACCAGTGAAAACAAAAAGGGATGTGGAATCTATCTGTATTCTTCCAACTGTGCTTCAGAAAAACTTGAGAGTAAGTACTCAGGTGTTCTCTGGAAGATTTTGTAACTGACATTGAAAAACTAGCCAGGTATTTAAGCAAGTCACATTCTGATGAGAATAAAACAGAGAACAAACTGTAACTTGCTGGAACTATTACCTTACTTGGCAGATGATCTACTTTTAAAAGACTGATGGCAAATCTGAAAATGTCTTCAAATTTGTCAACTGTGACATCAACAGCTCAAAAGAAAAAAAAAAAGGAAGAGCAATAACATCATAACATCCAATCAGCATCTCAAGTGCCAATCACTGAAATCACTGCTTGGGAAGGAGGAGGGCAAACCAGAAACTGCTGTTGTCAGCCATCATCTAGCTGTCCTATCTCACCTTTGATTGGATCAACCCTCCTCAAATAGGGCAATCCAGGATTACTAAGAGGCTTACTGAAGGAAAAAAAAAAAAAACAACCAACAAACATTAACTATATAGACAAGGTATTTTAAGAGTATTACATACACTGGAAAAAGTAAGAAGTTCACAAAACAGAAGAAAACACACTGCACATATCAGAATTCACAGAATATTTATAAAACACTATGTCTGGTTATCTTTTATTTTACAATACCTTTACTTGTTCCTTTATTATCACAAAGTTCCACACAATCATTTGCTTACACTGGTAAGGGCAAGTTTGATTTTTCTGTATACGTTCCAGCCTTAGTGCCTCATACTACCTTTTCTCTCTTTGCAACTGCCTGATATTTAGCCAACAGAACACATTAAACATATCCATCCATGAATTTGCTGTTTTCTTCCACAGCAGTCACACATTTCCAAAGAGTTAGCTTTTGACATCTTCATAACCATATTAACTGAAGCTAAATTATATTTTTCAGCGGTTGCGATTCAGTTAGCAAAAACTTGGGCTATATTTTCAATCTATTAAAAGTCTATGTATACCTACCACATCTATAAAACACCAAGTCCAAGCACCTCAATATTTCTGGGTATTTTTTTTATAAAACTTAAGAAATACTTTTCTTCCCTCTTGGATATAAGTATTTATTCAATTTCAAGATAATTCTTCCATTCTTTGCCTTAGGAATTCAAATTTTAAAAGCCCCAGCTATGCTGCAGTAACAGTGCATGCTTTCATCCATGGTTAAGATAACACAGTTTATGCCGAGATGATTAACCTCGAATTAATTTGCTACTATTTTAAGTAATCTGCATTTTTCCCTGCGGCAGCTCCTGGCAAGGAAAATAAAGAATTAGTTAAAAAAAAATTTTATTCTGGTGTTAAGGATATATAAGACTTTGAACAAAATTAAATGTCTGGAGAGATTCTTTGGCATCGAAACAAAGACAGAAATGGTTCAGCTACCTCTGGGTCTTGCATGGGGTTATGCATCTACCTTTGTCATCCACCTAACTACTGTTTTAAAACATGTACTTCATGGTCACAAAAACTTATTTGAGAAAATATTATTAGTACACGCAACTGATGACGCCACACAGAAGTGATTATATGCGCTTTCCTAAGCACACCTGGAGAGAACTTGGATGAAAACACATAGGGTAAATCCCAAGAAAGGTGCCATTCCCACCACACCTCCAGGTGCTCGAAGCAATACAAAGTGTATTGCCACTGAAAGTTACATAACCTCAGAAAGTAACTGGAACACAACATAGCTGCATCTCCTATTTTCAGCTCATTTTTAATGCATTATAACTGTTAGCAGGGTTGAGCTGTTGGACTACTACTACAATTCAAGTTGTTTCTCACACAGAGACAGTCTATTACTTCAGTAGGATTTTAATCCAGTACAATTACTGACTAATTTTTCAAGCCCTTTTCATTTATTTTCAATCTGTTTAAAAACCAAGTATCTCCATCAGCACCCAAGTCACTAGAAAATAAGAGCTTGATAGCAAAACTAACTATAAAAAAAAAAGGGGGGGGGGGGAATCAGCTTCATTCATTCTTTAATTCTTGCTAGGGCTTGGAAAAATGAAAGAAGGATGAAAATACAAAAGTGATTTGATGATTCTTCCTCAAGAAGGCCACAGACAACAGGAGAAGCAATTCTGAAATACTTATATCTACTTATAAAACCTAGAGCTGTGGCTTACTTCAGGCAGTTTACGGTACTCCTATGACAGCTGCTGTTACCATTCTCTCCTCTAGAATGACGGTTCGTAATTTTGATTGCCTTTTAAACATAGTGGTCCTCAAGGCAGGCATACGCTAGAGACCTGTGTGTGCTACCCAACAACTCCCTCTGCCTGTAGGCCGGCGGCTTCTGCGTCTACTTGGACCCCTGCGACCAACGACCTGCCTGCCAGCCTCCCGTGTCTCCAAACGCTGCCTTATGCCTCGTAGCTCAAACGCCTTCGGGTGCATCAATAAACCACACTTCCTCGCTGACCCATAAACGCAAGGCTCCCAACTGTGGTCGCAGGCAGGAGTTATTTCCCTCCTCGTCTATGCCCCTCTCTACTCTGACCTACGGGTTCAGGTCAGTGGATCCGCCGGACTAAGCCTCTGGATCAGACCCGAGGACAGAGACCCGGGAGAAGACTTTATACGGGATACCGGTGGAGGAGCCGGCCGGCCGGGCTAGAACCGCAGCGCCTCCACAGACTCGCTCCGCGTCCGGAGTGAGGGCGGAGACGCAGAGACACAGCCTCGCTTCCCCACACACACCTCCTGACGGAGAGGGTGGCCACGGCGACCAAGGTGCCCGCCGAGACCGGGCGGAGGCGGGCCTCCTTCTGCCTCTCACCCTCCTTCCCGCCGCCGGTCCACAGCGCCTGCCACAGGCCGCCGCTGCCCGCACAAGCAGCGGCCCGGGCGAACAGAAGCTGGCCGAGCCGAGCCGAGCCGAGCCGCATCGCGCGGCGGCTGATGCTAGCCAGCAGAGGGAGCCGGCCCGCCCCGCTCGCGGTCCCCGGCGTAGGGCGGGCCTGCCCGCCGCGCTCACCCGGCACGGTCCATCCTGGAAGACGCGCGGATCCAGGTTGCAGGCGATGGTGGCGGTGGGCAGGTCCTGCAGCGCCACCTCCTCCATCTCGCCGTCAATGAAGATCCAGTCCGCCTGGGCCTCGGGGGGGGGCCGCAGCAGCAGCGCCGCCGTCTCCTCGTCGTCCTCCTCCTCTTCCTCCCCGGCTTCCCCGGCCGACGACAGCGCCGGCTGGAGCAGAGCCGGCGCCGGCTCCTCCTGCCCCACCGGGCCCCTCCCGCCGCTGCCGCCGCCGCCGCTCTCCATGGCCGGGGGCGAGCGGAGCCCCCGCGGGGCGGAGTCTGGCGGCCGCCGGCACCACCAGCGCCCCGCAGCGACGGCTTGCGTCCCGCTGCCTCGCCGCGCCTTGGAGCGCGCACAAAACTTACAGCCCCCGCCCGCGCCCCTTCCGTTTCACTTAACCCCCGCGCCCGTTCAACCGGCGCCTTCGTGACACACACACGCCCCACGCCCCCCCCCTCCGGGCGCAGAGTGCACGGCTCCTTGTGAGCCAATAGGAAGCTGCTGCCGCCGCAGCAACAGGTGGCCTGTCCCAGCTAGACGCTGCTTCCGCCATCTTGAGTGAGGGTAGCGGTCAACTTGCCCGTGCCTGAGGGAGCTGAGCCTGGGCGCAAGCCTGCGAACGCGGCCGCGCGGCCTGGGGCAGTGGCAGCCACCCAGGGGCACGGTGACTGTCCAGGGCCTGCTGCAGCCACACGGCTGTGTTTTGCATCACGGCTGGAGCACAGAACAACACGTCTTGATAAGGAATATTTTGCAATAAGCAGATGAATAAAAAAAAAACCTTACTCAAACACTTGTAAATCAGTCAAATGCCACCATTATGTACACCTTGGTTCTCTTACCTGCCTTAAGGAAAGGACAAACAGCCCTTCATGTTCTGCAAGCAGCTGGCTGAACAGACAACAAAGGGAAGCTTAGAAGAAGGAAAATACAGCGGTAACAGTGGACAGCGGCATCTCCTCTTGCTGGCAGTTGATGTAGCTGATCTTCACCCTTTCTTTGGACTTTTTTCAGAAGTATCCTGTTGCTGGCCAAGACCAAAAGTGTTGTGACTTAAGACTTGTAAAAGATGCCACATAATGCCATGTCTGTGTCCTTTCCTCCTTACTTTGGGCATGAAGGAGATGTTTTCCGTGGGAAAGCCCAAAAGTGAGCTTGAGAGGTCGTAGGTTTTTGTAACATCCACACATCTACCTCAGACATCCTATACTAGTACAAGGATAATACAGAGTAGTAGAAGGCAGTAAGGAATGAGAGGATGCTGGGCAGTAGTAGTTGGCAAAGCACTAACCATCCTTTCTTATGTACCACTCCAGGGCTACATAAGAATGAATGAGGTCTGAAAAGTGGAAGGAACCATCAGTTTGATACCAGAAACATAGGTACTAGCAAAATGTACTTGAGTTGCTATGAAGAACTGGTAGCAAAATACAGGAGTTCCTTCTTATAAGAAAGTCTGAGGTGCTAATACTATTCTCATTTCCAGTTACAAGAAACTTCCCAGAGACATGAATGAGGGGACAGTTGGCATTTATATTATAGCTGAGAGTCCCAGGGCTTACTTAGAAAGCAACATTTCATCACAGAGTGATCTTGTCATCAGGTGCCATCTATCCAGATACTGAAAAAATTCTTCCATTTCATAATGTCTGGTATTCTCGGTGTCCATTTTTTAACTGTCATGTTTGTAGATAACACATGTTAGTGTGTACTTGGAAAACATTACTGTGTCAAATACAAGGTTGCATTTTGCAAACGTTCTATAGACATACTGATGCAGGCTATGGTAGGTCATTTGTTCTGACACAGCAAATATTTTCAATAGTGTTTGAAGTAAAATACTCTTACAGATATTTTCTTCCAAAATACAGCAACATGAAAAACTGAACCAGGTGTAAAACTAATTTTTGACAGGTTTTAATGCTGTAACACCTATTGGTTTTTGCACTGTGCAAAGTTTACAGCAGAGGCAACAGCCTCACTCCTTGACATACAATTGTTACCCGGTCTTCACTTAAGCACTGCTGACCTTTTTTTTCCAACAGATCAAAGACTTTGAACTGATGGATTACTGGTTTTAGTCAATTTTAATGAGATCTTGCAGGATACAGCAAGAAGAAAAATACCATGTGAACAGATAATAGTTTGCCTTCTCCCTCCTGTTAGAAGTTTCTTCAGCCTCTCTAATCATTTAAGCCTTTTCAGAGAGATAAGCTGTCATCTTAGGTACAGGATATTTTCATGATCAGTTGTGCTAAATGACATTAAGTCAGTATGTTCTCACACCAGCTTTCACAAAAAATCAGACAAGTGCTACCTTCAAAGAAAAGTCACATATATAAGCAAGCTGCAACTTTCTACAGCTAAATTCAATCGTAGACTTCAGAAGAAAAATTAAACCTTAATCTCACTCATCTCAGGTTTTAATGACTGATTCAGCCTTTCTTTTTTGTTACATAGGAAGGTAATGTAAGGTAAACTTTTGACTGGAGAAGTTGGTAAAATAAGACAAAAATAGATCTTCACCCTGATGTTCAACTCTGTAGGCAGAGTGTATCTTTTAATGTAAGTGACAATGATTAACGATAATGATTTATTTACACGCAGGGGAGAAAGATTCCTCGGGTAAATCGCTTAAGGCACACTAGGCAGCGCCACTCAACTGTTTTAAACACACACTACCATCTAGTGGTAGAAAGAAAAGCACGAAGGATCGAGAGAGGGCTACTTTTATTCCATTTGCAACAAAGATCCTCGCTTCTCAAGTCAAAAGTAGCTAACCACAATGGGGAACAAACAAAAATTCAACCACCACAAATCAATCCTGTACAGGACTTAATTATAACTAAATGGAAAACGTTTGGAGAATGACTGAACATGCATCCCTATGAGCAACTTTACATCCTAAACACTCATTTCCACTGCCTTATTTAATATTCCTCAGAATAGATTTTCATTGTACATAAGTAGATATAATTAGCAGTTTAAACACAGGGCATTGGTATCAGTGGCAGTACTTCAGAAGACCTGGAGGGTTTTTTCCTTCATAGAAGCCTATTTACAAAACAGTACTGCAATCATTCCTTGGCTATAGACTTTAACAAAGGATATGCATATCTAAAATGCATATATTAACACTGAAGATTAATTCTGGCTATCAATAGCATAGTTTTCATTAAAGTAAATTTTCTTTCATTACTTCCATATCCTGCATGTACAAAAGCATGTGTGCTCAGTTGCTTCCTTACATTAACACTGAAATATTTGTACTATCAGTTATTTGCATATATATGTAATAGAAAATATTGATGTCTTAAACTTTAACCAAATAACCATCTAAATTTACAATTAAAAAATGTCCAACGTCCAACGCATTCGCAGACATCCAAGCTCAAAGCAACCCAACCATCCTATTGAATCTAAAAGATGGTCAAAGAAATAACTTCATCTATACTCATGCTATCCCCATGGACAAGCAGTGTATGATACAGTATTTTAGATAGTTATTTCTCTTGGTAGATCATACAAACTTCATAAAAGCCTGACTGGTTCAACAGCACTGACTTGCGGGGATCTTCTTCATTAACAAGGTTTGAAGCTGGAGTTCTCAAAATCCCATGCAGAAGTGCATACCCTCCATTGTTGGAGGGGAAATGCCCATCCCTGATGCCTTCCCAGAGCCAGAAGGACCTTTCCACGCCGTAGTGGCTCCTTCACAGGCTGCCCAAAGAGCTTTGCCTCCTACATTTCCTGCAGCCATCCTGAATGCCTTGTTTTCTAGGAAGTTCTGCTGAAAATCCTACTCTGTAAAGACTTCAGTTTACCTCTTTCAGGTGCATATTACCTGCCAAGGAGCCCCTCTGGGTTAATTTCTCACAGATAGATTTGTTCTCCTTCAAGCATCCTCACATAGACAGAGTTCTGACTCTCTTTAAAGCAAGCCAGTCATCTTAAAGTAAATATATAAAGTACACAAAATCTCACTACATTTACTTTAAACTCAGTCTGAGCAAAGCACATACCTCAAAATAAAATAAACATAAAGGAAAACCCCAGCCTTATTTAACTGTTTGTTCTGATGTTAAATGTTTTCTTTATGTTTTCTTTCTAGCCATTAAAGTTATGGTTTATTTCTAGCTTAAATTTGTCTGGTTCTCACTGATAGCCATTTGTTTTGTTATGTTTTTCTCAATTGTAATAAAAAGTGTCCCAGTGTTTGATCCTTTACAGTGGAGTCCCTCCTCACTATTCTTTTTGCTCAGCTAAGCAAATCCAGTCCTGCAAGTGTTTTTCCATTTAGAGCTGCTGAAAGTGATTTCATGTCTGGTCCATACTTCTCCCCATCATGTTCCCTTTCCTTCTCTTGACTTAATCCACACATCCCAAGGAATTCTTTTTTCTGAGTATCATTATCCTTGCTCTCCGAGGGTCCAGATGCCATCCATTGTTGTTTGCTAAGCTCCTGCAGTACCTCTGCAGCACCATGGTTCTTCCCTGCCTTTCCTCCTGCTTGCTTACCTCAGCCTCTGTCCACCACGGTGACCACAGTAACCAGGTGTCCTGAGTGCACTTACTCCAGCTTGATAGCCTTCCCCAAGCTTTACCAATGCAAACATACATCTTAAAACACCCTTACCACAGGTTTAATTTTTGTGTTTGCTTAGAAAAAAATGTGTACAGATCACTTTTATATACGTTTTTTGGTCTTTGTAGACAACAACATTCAAGGAATTGCTACAGCCTGTATTGTATCAAGTATCTACATTAGCTATTTCCAGCTATGTTGACTGGAAATATCCCATGACTGGCTCTCATAGCAAAATGTCTTCAACAGCACAACCTAAAGGGTTATTTTAGATAGCAGTTTGGGGCACTGCATTTGGCAGTAGAATAAACCATCCTTTTTTTTTAACTTCTTGAACTTGTGCAGACTGATCCTCTTTCTCAAAACCACAGTAGTAAGACTGAGAAATCAGAGTGATAGCCTCTCTGTTCCATACTGTGTAGTTGTGCTTTTGTTGAAGGGCCTAGCACCCACAGGAGAGGTAGGATTAGCTGGAGTGTTTTTCAGAAGCACTCCTAATATTTGGAAGAGTAGAAGCAGAGAAGAAACATACAAATAAAATGCTGTTAAAGAAAATAAATACAGTGAAGTTGTTTTCTTTATTTTGGTATTGGTAAGAGGCTAAGAAACAAGTCCTCAGTTGTTTGGGGATTTTTTTTAACAAGCTAAGGAGTAGGTAATGTACACAAAGCTCATATGACTGATTCAGATCAGCTGCTGTGTTAAATGCCTATCAGCACAATCTCTTCTCTTTTGTACCTATCTTTCCCTTCTTCCAAGGTTCACTATGCTCC